AATAAATTCATGATATGATGGAGCACCTATTGAATTGTATCTATAATATAAATTTCAATGGGATAGTTGTGCATATGTCCTACAAGATTTAGCTCCGTTGTTACTGGAAAGACTGCATTTTGATCTGTCACAGCTTGCTTGAGAATTCTGCAACTTATATAAAAATCAATCGCTACAAAGAATTGGACCACACAGTTACCTAGAGTGGCGATTCGGTTGTCTGTTAGGTCGAGCGTTTCCAGCGATGGTAGACCTCGGAAAGCTCCAGGTCGTATTGCAGAAACGTTCGACCTCTGGATCTGTAACCAGCAGAGGCTTGGGAGGTTTGGGAAAGACCGTTCCAGGAGCGTGGGGGAGCGGAGAAAGCTGATGTAGATCTTTCGAGTTTCCTTGACAAAACCGGTTGGGAGGGTGTTGAGGCATTGCCTGTATGTGTGGGTCCGCCCTCCATGTCCAATCCAGCTGCAACCCGCCCCACTTGCTTTTTGATGGGGACATATACATCTAAAACTTGGTGTGATAGCGGAGCATCTGTAGGGGCATTCAAATTTTACAGCTTGCACTGCCACTGGCACAAAAAATAGATAACCGTAGGCCAGAAGTAACAAAATCAGCGCCTTGCTCAGCAGCATGTTGAGAAGTGATGCGTGCCTTTAAGTTACTGAATTTCTTAATGCGCGTGCACTGCCCACATGTTGAATATACAATATTGAACTGTCAGAACAACATAATTCAGATGAGAATATTGTCTGCAAGTTGTTTTGAAAGTTGAATTGAATTATGCACGTCGAGTATGACACAATTGCCAATGTCGCAAATTAACCAGTCCAGTAGCTGCCTTCCCAAAAATTAACTGACGCACATTTCAGTTCTCTAAATATGTATTATACATAGCATTGTTAACTTTTGACCGTAGTTTTTGCTTCCATCGTTTACAACAAGTTGGAGCAGTTTTACATGTGATCAGAACAATATTATGTTAGGCCACACCAATTTAATTTGTTGGTTCTCGGATTCACCTCTTCAGTATTTTCTGATTTGCAAAAAAAAAAAAAAAAGATTCTGGCTCTGGATCCACTCAAAAATGCTCGTATTTTGCCCCCAACAGTTGAGAAAAGTCATTTCTTCCTAGATGTCACAGTTTTTCCATCTATTAATGCAGTGGTTTGATTAAAAGGTCAAAATTCATTGTTTAAATTTTAACCCAGCCTTTTGTGTTGACTTCATGGCTCCTATCACAGCATTTGGGGCTATAATAGGATGACTAGACCTGTTTTTATTTTTATTTTTTTTTCACCCTGTCTCTTCATATTTTTTCTTAAAAATCCAAGAACTAACAAGTTAAATTGGTGTGGCCTTACAGTATTATAATATTTTGCTGCAGAAGTGTAGCAGAATTCTTCGTCAGCTTTTATAGTCGTATCAATATTTTTTTACACTTGATCTGATTCTAGCAAAGTACAGTTACACTAGTTGAAACTTTGAGTGTAATGGTCGTAAAATTAATGTAGCATGGCATGGCCTTTACAAGGTCTTTGCTGTATAGGTATTGAGCAATACAAAAGCACTCCTGAGGCACTAGGGCTCCTACGTGGATTAGGCCACAACAATTTGATTTGTTGGTTCTCGGATTTTCTCAGAAAAAAATATGGAGCGACAGGGCGAAAAAAATGAAAAATAAAAACAGGTCTAGGCATCCTATTATAGCCCCAAATGCTACAATTATAGGAGCCATGAAGTCAACACAAAAGGCTGGGTTAATGAATTTTGAACTTTTAATCAAACTACTACATTGATAGATGGAAAAAACTGTAACAACTACATGTAGGAAGAAAAGGACTTTCCTGAACTGTTGGGAGCAAAATATGAGCATATTTGACTTGATTCAGAACCAGATTCTTTTTATTTTTTATTTGCAAATCAAAAGAAAATGAAAAGGCGAATCTGAGAACCAAGAAATTAAATTGGTGTGGCCTTACTTTACAATCTGTGACCTGCTGCACTTGTAGAAATGTGCAGTAGATGGAGGTGCCGTTAACTGTGGGGTTGTACTAATGGTGTCATGCTTGTCTCCTCATCTGTGCAGTCTCCTTACACCCAGGCTTTTAACAGTTGCACCCAATTCCCATCCTCTGTGTGCACGGGGGGATTGTCTCACAAGTTCACATGCCACTGCTAACAAAACTACTTTCAATTCCGAACCTTTCTGTGCACAGGGGGATTGTCTCGCTAGTTCACATGCCACTGCTAACAAAACTGCTTTCAATTCCGAACCTTTTCTGTGCACAGGGGGATTGTCTCGCAAGTTCACATGCCACTGCTAACAAAACTACTTTCAATTCCGAACCTTTCTGTGCACAGGGGGATTGTCTCGCTAGTTCACATGCCACTGTTAACAAAGCTACTTTCAAATAGCTACAAACTTCAAGGTGAAGTTTGTACGCCAGTTTCGAATGATAAAATAAGTACCTTTTGTGGCTGCATATCCAATAAGAAAAGTTTTTCAGGAGATGTCTCGCCTTCTAATGCAAGCACACTATTATTCTTTGGGCAATAAAAGTAAGACCCTCAAATCTACCTGGTTCTGGATAAAGCACGGATCTGGATAAAGCACGGTTCTGGATGAAGCACGGTTCTGGATAAAGCACGGTTCTGTATGAAGCACGGTTCTAGATAAAGCACGGTTCTGGATAAAGCACGGTTCTGTATAATAGCAATATTTATGGCATTCATAACTGCATTTGGCCACTATCTGCAAGAGTCTGTCTCAAGGCACTGTACTCTGGACAAAAAAGTGTGTACGTCAAATATTCACGTCCAAAACTTTCAACTTAATACTGATATCAGGTGGGATTAATGAAAGGAAATTTATGAATGACCTAAACGTATTTTTTTGGGACTGGATCATATTTTAGACCGGACTCTTTTTGAGACTACCTGTAGAGTACTAGTAATAACAAACAGAACAGAACAGATCTGATGGTTCATGTATTATGGCATAGGTTTGTTATGTTTACCGAAGGAAAACATATTGTTCTTGCTACATTTCCTCCTCTTCTTCTTCTCGAAACACTGACCTCTGACCTGGCCAATGACCTGATTTTTTGACGTCTCTCACCATGGCAACTGGTGTTGGGTCACATAATGTAGCAATTTTATAGTAGGTGGGATTTATACTCCTGTCTGACCATATATATTTATTCATGTTTTTGTTGACTGCACACTGAAATATCCTTCTAGCATCCCTTCCACTGGTCAATGCCCTGGAGGCCCCTCAGTTCCTGACAGTGAGAGATTGTCTAACCTAGACTACCCACTAGAAGTGCTTCTCATAGCACTTAGACAGAATGTCTGATTTCAAGTCATATTCGAATATTTAATGTATGACTTGTAGTTTTCAAATGTTGTATCGGAAAAGATAAGTGCTTTGCAAAATTTTAATTCAATGTTGACCAAACATCAAAAACCTTCAAAAATCCATGTTTCATGCAGGCGCAGTACGTTCTGCTGACTTGCTGCTTCTTACTGTAACTGTTAGAATATTAGTGGGCTGCGCTGTGAAATTGTCACACTCCCACAGTAGAGCTGCCAGCAAAATGCCACCCTCACACTGACCCCTGTCCTTGTACACAGGCTATCTCCTCTCGCCTTCTGGTGCCTCTGGGGTTTCTAGATAGTTGGTGAAAAACTACCGGGACTAACAACATTTTTGAAACAGCCAGAGCCAGTTCCTCTCCATGATAATGCACACTGTAATCAGGATGCTTGCTGTACTGTACAGATAATGTTGTATACTACATGTATGTGCTAATAGTTCATTTGCTGTATATAGTATGGTCAGCCAGAATGTAGCGTTTCCAGTTCACGATATATCCGCAAGAAATGTGGCTTGACAACGTTTGGAGATATGCTACCTAGTTATTATACAGGAAATAAGAGACATAGGCCTAGGAAAAAAAAATGATGTGTTTCCTGTTTCCCGACCGACCTTTTAAAAAACTGCAGACCCTAGCCTTTTTTGTGTGTGGACCCCTGCAAGGAACTTTTCAAGCTGATCTACCTTTTTTAGCTCCAGAGTGTTAAAGCGTTGTATAATTGGTTTTCCAACATAAACATTGAATGTGTTCCTCATGCAAGTTTTACTTTGTCAAACTGTGTTAGTTGGATCACTAGCAATCGCCAAAGTCTTAAAAAAAAAGAAAGAAAGAAAAGATAATACCAACCTACCGAGTACCGACCCTAATTTTTTTTCAGGACTGAAACAGGAAACACAACATTTTTTTTTCTAGGCCTTATACACTGTGCAGTGTCCTTTGTAAGATTATAATATAGGCTTCCAACTTGTTGTAACAAAACATTTTCTTTTACAAACGATGTGCATGTTTTGAGACAGCCCTGCTAAGTCAGCTCCAGTAGTGTTGAGGGTGTTAGCACTTCATATATCAGGAGTTTCTGTGTCCTTGGTGGAATCTCTCTGGTGTTATGTATATATTTTTGGTGGACTTGGCTTCCCATGCATGTCAAGTGCATTTGCAATACAATGCAAGTTGCTGGTTGCTATCAGTATGTTGGTCTTTTATTTTTACGTAGACTAATTTTGGAATGTCATGTAGGTGTCAGCCAGCCCTACTAAATGACTTGTACTTAGTAATCGCTGTGGCAATTAGTATATGTTCATTTAATTAATTTCATTGGCTTTTGATAAAGTCAAATCATTGTTTGCTTGAAAATGTCTCTACAGCTCCTTGATATGAACCTTATTTATGCTCAGTGTTATTATTGTGTTTTTTTAATGCTTATTACTATGTGACAGTGTACAGTATGTGATTCACTAGCACAAATGTCTGTAACACACTTTTTGTGCTTTTTCCTGTTGATTGTACATTTCAGGTTTTAATACAGTATATAATCAATATTATTCTTGCAATGTTATGCTTTTGACTGCATGTGCACAATGCATTATATCGTCTTTACCAATGTTTTCCTTTTTTTTATTTCAGCAACGATTGATGTGAAACGGAACATCTTTGACCTGGCCACGGATGCCTCGGACCATTACTTAGCCCTAATCGAGGTGAGACATCTCCATCTCCTGCCCATGTTGTCCATGTGACAGCATGTGGAAACTCAGGGGTACCACTAACAGAAGGACACGGCTGTCTGTGTGTGGGCACAATTAGGAGAGTTCCTTATCAGTGTGTGAGAGAGAGAGAGCGACAGGTTTTTTTTCCAGGGTAGGCATTTGTGTGGAAATGACTGTGCCCACCTCTGGCCTGGATGTACGTGGACGTCTATCCGTGAGCCAAACGCGCCGGTGGTAACCGTGGTGATGTCGAAATGGGCGGTAGATTAGCGCGGCTCTATACGTGCACCTGTCCCGTACTGCTGGGGTATCACAAAAACTGCCCGCGGAAAAAACAGATATTCGTAAGTGATGTGTGTTGTGTGATATTGGATTGTGATGTTGAGGTGTTGGAAAAGTGTTCTATTTGATCAAGGTACAAGGCATGCTGTCTATTTGTACCTGGTGTTTTGGTGATTTTGGACAGTCATATTTCTTGTGAATGAGAAATTCGCATTAGAAAAATGTTAATAGTGTTCCCAGGACTGCAGATATAGGCACATTACTGAGAGGTTTCCTTATGCTTACTTTGCCATTGGATTGTGACAACCTTTAGATTCAGAACATAAACTAGCTAGCTAAAAGGGTAATTTTTAGTGTTTTATCTCTTAATATGTCTTTTAGTTTAATTCTATTACTGTTACTTTGTAATTTTTAAAATCTTATGTAACAGTTGTATTTGTTTCCATTATCATTATTCATTTATTATCTTTTTTACGTAGTAGTAGTATTACATGTAGGTACATGTAGATGTTCCTTTTGTTTCCTTGCTTGTTTCTCCATTCACTGTACATTTTATTAGGAGCTGTCCTAGTAGAGAAACTAGGTTTCTGTTGTCAACTCCTTACAGATTTCCTGCTCTTTTTTATTCTAAATCTGTGAAGTCAAATGCTGTACATAGGTAAGTATTAGAATAACTAAATCTTGAATTGCATGTAATAATTGATCTTTTGTTTTCAGAACCAAACCTTTCAACCAAGACTGAAAACTAGCAAAATGACTGGTGTTTTATGTGGTGTTTATTGATGTTTTTTTGTTGTTTTCAGAACCAGGGTAACATGGACTCCCTGTCAGTGGAGAGTGTGTGTCGGCTGTATGAAGTGGGACGGCTGCGGGTAGATGGGGAGGATGATGAAGATGAAGAACAGGTAAACTATTATCTCCTCATCACTGTCATGTATCAAGCAGTACCAGTGAGTGTTCTAGCCAGCCTGAAAATTTTTTCTGTCTTCTCAACGTTGATTCCTGAGTTCCAGTGTGATGATCCTAGGGGGCATGCTCCCCCTGGAAAAGTTTGAAATCTCAATCCTCTGAAACTCTATTTCCTGCATTTTGCAACATTTGCTAGTAGTCTAAGCTTTCCATATCTTTACACTCAGATTTTTTCGCCCTGTCGCTTCATATTTTTTCTGAATCTTTCGAATCTTATTTCGAAATCAACATTAAAATTTGTGTGGCCGAATGATTGTATTTTCCTTACAAACCAAGTGGGTGAAATGTTTAACTCTAGATTGCCTTATCATTTGGAGCTACAAGCAACTTTTATTACACAATCTTTCGCTGTCTGGGGCTGATCTGGCCTCCTCTTCTAGGAGCCTGACCAGTGGAACGGCTGCCTGAAGCGTGATGTAGTCAGGCTTTATGCAACTGACTTTGGAGGCAACTGATGACAAAGATAACAACATGGAAATCTCTATTGTCCTTGTACACTGGCCATTTCTCCTTCCTGCTGACTTGCAAATTGCCAGCGTTATCTGTGTGTGTGTGGGAGAGCAGTGTAGAATGATGAAGTTCCCTGGAGAGATGTCGTTACTGTTACCTCTGCCTTATCTGTACAGGTTCTAGCTGGGAGCGTGAAGGGCAGGGGTTACAGGGAAATATGTAATCTGCAGCTCATCTGCTGCTCATGCGGTTTTTGGGCCGAACCAGGGCAGTTTGTGTATCTACACGGTTTCCATGATGAAACAAAACAAAAATATCAAGATTCCTTTAAATCTTCAAGGTACATGTGTATTTGAAGACTGATTTGATTTGATTGCTGGTGTTGTGTCCCACACATAGAAACGAATGCTGGACAGACAATGCTCATTTTCTCTTGAGTTTAGTGTGGAAAGTCGTGTAAAGTGCCTTTCCCAAGGGCACAAGATCGGCATGTCAGGACTCGAACCCCGGGACCTCTTTGTTTCGAGTACGCTGCCGTTGCGCCACACAACCGCACTGACTGACTGTTATCTTGAAAGTTAAAAAATTTAAATTAAAAAATTGAAAATTACAGTTTAAACTTCTTATGAAATAGAAAATTACAGTTTAAGCATATTTGAAGACTGATTTGATGTACTATCTTTCAGGAGGAGGAGGAAGAGGAGGAAGAATTGGATGATGATGATGATGATGATGAGCTGAGTCAGGAGGAGATGGAGGATGGGGAGGGGGAGGACAACATGGAGGATGAGGAGAACCTGGATGAGGAGGGGGAGGAGGGAGGGGAGGACGACGATGATGATGATGGGGATGATGACGAGGAGTTTGACATCGACCTTGAGGACAGCGATGAAGGTGAGTCAGGTACCACTTTTCCTCATTAGGAATCTATTTGACTGTTCTGTTAATTATGAGTGTTTTTTCTTACAAGGCACAATCAAGTGATTGATTGATGATTATGAATTTTATTTGCTGATACGAAATACACAGTATTTTATTTATGTCATACCCACCCGAGAATACACACTTCAATGCAAAATGTGCCAAAAGTCAGTGATGGTAAAATTGTAACATCAATTCCAACATCCGAATCCTGTATTTGAATTTTCAAAAGTGGTGCACACGGTGCATGCGAAGTGCGAATTATCGTGGCCTAGGTATGACGTAAAATTAAGGTTTACCTGTCCTCTGATTGATTAGGAGAAAGATAGAAATGCATGTGAGTTGTGATGGAGAGTAATCAGTCCAAAATAAAAGAATTACTCATGTTAGTGTCTTTCAATGCCTTTCAGTTTGAAACTGGTTTGAAGCAGAACCCCTTTAATGTGATTTGAGCAGGGACTACCAGTCAGTCAATTTTACCCGTTTTATAAATGTTCTTTTTTCCAGATGACGACTTGTCAGATATTGATGACGACATGCTGTTCGCCCTCTCCTGATCATGAACACAGCAGCCAATTCGAACCCTAGGATTACTGCTGACATGTGGTCCACGGGAGATGTCGAATCTTCAGTCCCAAAATTTTTCACTATTGTCTGTCCAGTATTTTTTCTGAAAATTCAGAATGCTCATTGATATGACTTCTTTCTGGCACCATACATGTACATGTACAAGTACAAGGCAATATTCTGAAGTTTAATAAAAAATACATGTACCCAGTATATCATTAATTCATCTACATGAACATTTCCAATTAAGTAAGCAGCAAGTTTTACATGTATGTGTACATTATATTTCAGTTCTGCTAAGCTTTTAAGAGGTAATCTGTGAAGTTTCTAGCAATACCACACTTGTGTATGTATTTTAGTTCCATGACAGAGAAAAAGTTCATCATAATATTATCCACAAAATGTAGGCATATAAATGAAATATTACATAATCATTACTGGCTGGGGTAAGACAGAACTGAGGCAATATTGAGGACATGTAATTGTAAAAGATTCAAGATAGGGAAGAAACTTTGCACAGTTAAGACATTTCCAGTAGACACGATGGCTGTTGTGTTTCTTATGCCACTCAAGAATCTCAGGAACTTGTGCTTGTCTTTCCATAGAATTTCCCCAATATACACCTCTCTGCAATGGCCTACAGGTATTGTATAACACTCTGTGTATTTATGACATGTACTTAACTATGTATGAGGGGTGCCGTAGATTTTTCTGGCGGATGAAGGTTCTGGCAGGAAAAAGTTTTAAGTATTTTTTCCTTGCGATTTACGCGTAAACTAAAATCAACTTCAAGGCACTGCTGTGTCGCTCTGATTTTAGCCATGTAAATTATTTATGGATTTTTTTGGCCGATTCTATCACAAATTTCATACAATGTATATCTTTTCTCTGCAATATAATGTAATGTTGTAGCTTAGAACATTGTCATGTACATTGAGAATGCTTTTAAACTATACATCAGGGAGAATGTGTATGACTAGTCTTTTCTGATCATTCAGGGCTCGAAATACCACCTGCATATGCAGGTTAGTACAGGCAAAATTGGTGCTGTGCAGGTATTTATGAGGTCTACCTGCACCTAACCTGCATAAGGTTATGCATACTGTATTTCAAATGTTACCAGTGCAGGTAGACAGAAAAAAAAAAAGGATTTTGAGCCCAGTCATTTAACAGAATGTATCGAGCAACAAGCAATACAGAACCTGTCGGAAATTGATTGACGTATTGTTATGGCAGGGTAGATGGTATGCCTTTATGGTATGACTCAGTATTCGGATGTAAAGGGTGATACGGGTGAATGAAAAATATTCAAATGTAAGATAAAACAGAAGACACTGTCACTGTGTATCTGATGATGTGAGAGTGGTATGGGCAGTCAAAGGGGTCATATACCACAATGCTGAAACATGAAAGATAGATTGGCTTAAAACATTAACTACTGATGTTCTGTGGTACATGTACCTCTATTGTTTGTACATGTAGTTTGTACTAAAGTGAAATGAGCCATATAGTTACTGCCAGGTGCCTTGAATGTGTACCACTCCCACCTCTTTGTACCAAGATGTTTCAGAGCTGTATTAAACATGGTCTGGGACAAACCCTTTTTTTGTGTATGTGATCTGTATCTTGCATAGATTAGGCCACACCAATTTAATTTCTTGGTTAACGGATTCGCCCGCTCCATTTTTTTCTGATTTGAAAATAAAAATAAAAATTCAGAATCAACTGCAAAATGCTCATATTTTGCCCTGAACAGTTGAAAACAGTCCTTTTCTTCCTAGTCGTTACAGTTATTCCATCTTTCAATGCAGTGGTATCATTAAAAGTTCAAAATTCATTGTTTAAACTTTCAACCAGTCTGGTGTGTTGACTTCATGGCTCCTATCATACCATTTTGGGCCATAATAGGATGCCTAGGCCTGTTTTTATTTTTTTTTGCCCGCCCGCTCCATTATTTTTCTAGAAAAATCCGTTAACCAAGATTTTAAATTGGTGTGGCCTTAACATCTGTATCTTGCATACATCAGTCTAACCTAGGATATAGGATTTTCTTTTTACACAACTAAAACTTCTCTCACCTTGATTACATTTCGGTGTCTATCAGACACCTTCGGCAGAACTCCAGTCAGAAGCTCTGATGAGGAATAATATTTACTAGAATGTTATAAAATGTTGAAATAAATGATATAAAAATATTTCTGTTGCCCTTTGTTGACAACAAAGAAAAGAAATGGCAGAAATATTGCCAAAAAAAAAGGTCCATATTCAGACGCTCGTACTAGCCGTTGTAGGAATTTTCGTCTCAAAATGAGCATATGCCTGACTAAAACGATTAATTCCCTGATATATCTGTGATATCTAGTAGTCAGGAGAGGCCTCAATGTCAAGAACAAGAGCTGAAAAGACCTGGAGTAAAACCCCCATAAGAGCCCATCGCGTTTCCCAAGTCGCGAAATAGCCAAACCTGGGAATGAGCGAGGCTTCGTTAGCGAGATGGGCCTTTTCCGAACGGGTGCTTCAAAACGGGGGTGTGATAGGGGATGAGTTTACGCTTTTTCAATTTTAGAAAAATGAAACTTTTGGCATTTGCCTCCCTCCTTGTTTTCAGAGTATACTCCGTATGGTCTCCTTTCTTTTCCTACTTATTGCCTCTGCCCAAATTTCCTTCATTCTCAACTTACACTTAAAAATATGATTTTGCGATCAGCTGATCGCTTGCAGAAATGGTCACAGTCTTGGCAGAAGTGAATTTTCAGTGTCGATCTCATTACCATATGAATGTAAACCAAGCAGATGCATGGTGGAAGGCAAAATCTTAACAGCTTGGGGATTGCCATGCCATAGTTATACGCCTGGCAGAGGCTCTGTTTCCATTCTTATGATATTGAGATCGACACTGAAAAATTCACAAATTGATTTCCTTCGTATATTGCAGTCGGTGTCTTAATATTCAGTTTGTAGTCATGAAGGTTCAAACTGAAGCTATCTCTGTCCTTGGTGCTGAAAACCCCCCTCCCCTGTTCGTAAGAATATTACGTGGTTGCCGAGCATTTTCACCTCCCCTAGCCTTATAAATCGGCTCCTTTTCTTTATAGAGGCAGTCCTTACGACTCAGTAGCTTATCTGGGGGAAAGTAACTGCCTAAAATAGTCCCGTTCGTCCGAAAATCCATCGTAACTTCAGTTGTTCACATGAAAATTAAAGCGGCTTTATAGTTTTGAGTCTGTTGTCCATATTTGGTCAAAGAGGCAGACGTCATGATTGTTTCTCTTTATTATCCAATCAGGCTCGACGACTCAAACACATAAACATGATGAGAACCAATCAGCATCAAGGATGCATCGGTTAATGACCCTCTGCGCCATGTATCAAAAGCGACTTCTAGCAGTCGGTGAAATTATTGCATGTACAAATCTCAAGTACCTGCAATAATTCCACGAACTGCTAGAGGCCCTCATTGACACGGTATATGGCGCCTGTAGCATGCAATTAACTAAAACGTGAGGGAGTAAACTTTGTAAAGAAGGGTACACATTCGCCAGGGAAGGAAAGATTCTTCTGGACACCTCAGGTATGAATTATTACACTTCTAGGAAGGGTTTGGTGGAAAAACTGGAACGAAAAGTTTATGCGTTTATGCGTTTTATTGATGTTTGTTTAATTTTTCGTTACTAAACATGTTTTACTTGATTTTGTTCTTACTAGCAGTTCTAACCGTCCAGAAAACAACTAGATAGTAGACGTGAAGAATGGATTATATAGAAAATATTGCAACAACTAGTTCTATAATTTCTTGTGCTATTTTTATTTTAAACGCCAATGTTTACACCCATTTCTGCCTATATTTAACCCAGCATATCTACACAGTTCGCCTGGAGGATTGCGTAATGCGGCACCTGGACTTAATGTATGCATATGTTTGAGCCTCGTTATAAGACGAAATCCGCTGTTTTGATTGGTCCTCCTTATAATTGAATAAATGCTCAGTTATTTTTTACGTATTGGAATCCCTAGAGGCAATTGTCGCAATAACTGTAATGTTTGTAATTTGTCACATACTACTAGCTAGAAAATGTTCTTATCGCAATCAGAAAATAAATGGGTAAAAAAATAATTTGTATAGGAAAATTACTAACGCGTGTTTTCCTCGATGCCTCCTTAAGTAAAATGGATGAGGATAGAAAAAATGAGAATTTCGAATTCGTAAAATTAAAGCCATAATTAAGACATCGTATTATTCTGGCCTGCGTGTGTGGTGATTTCCTATTGGCCTGTCCTTAATCTTATATATTAACTTGATTATCGAATGCAAATTTTGCTCGTGATTTACAGGTGTGAGGTGGCATAGCACATGTGCGTGAAACACGCCTTTCCAAGATGGCGAGTGTGCATGGAAGGGAAGAACGAGCTGGGTAAAAATTCCGCCCAAGAAGACGCGCCATGTCCGCTTTGGTGGTAAGTTGTACTTTAAATTGTCGTAGATACTCTCCGGACTTTTATAGGCAAATCTCCTTTAAGTTAAATGAAGCAAAACGACAGAATTTCGAAAAATAAGTTGCGGCTGTCCCCCACGAGTTAACGCTGCAGTATGTTAAGTAACCGATGAGGGCGCTTTTGCGTGGTCCAGTAATAATTAAAGAAGATAAAAAGCACTTTAATTGATTCAAATGTTTATTCATTTTACACCGTACCCACACCAGTTATTTGAACATGGGTCAATCAATTACTATTCAATGAGGGTGAAATTAATGATCCTGAAATAGAAGAACTACACCAACCTGATTAAGAGGTGCATTTAATACATAATCCGCTGAGGGGCGCTTATATGTGACCCTTGACCTGAACAGCTTTGCTTGGTATGTTGTTGTTGTTGTCGTCCTGTGTGTTTTGGTCAAATTCTATACGTTTCAATGTAAAACAAAAGCGTTACGAGGCCAAGAGCAGACAGAGGGGACACGATAGTACCGTTTGTGCAGAGGATGACATGGACAAGGTGATAAATTTGGAAGGAGAGGAGACAGACGACCGGTAAGTTCGAGTGGGGAGGGGGGCGGTAACAGAGTTGTTTATGTATCGAAGACCATATCCAGGGTAATGATGATATACGTCACATAGTGCTTAGGAAGGTAAATTTGAAGGTAGAAAAGACACCAAGAATTCACCATAAGGTTGACTGCAAGAGAAGCGGTGTTTTGGTATATAAGTAGAACAGTTCAGGACTTTTCTATGCATGTTAACCAGTTGTTGAGCGGTAAAAAAAGACAGAACAGAAATTGACATCTTGGGACAACTAAATTATGACAGTGACGTTAACGTTGTGGTCCTGGGTTTGAATCCCAAGCAGGTTTGTCTACATGACGGGCATCTTCAAGGCTTAGCCCTGAATTCATGACTTGTTTATTCACAGATTAAATCTTCACATACTAACAAAGTTGTTACAAAGTCACTGGCGTCAGGATGACTCTTCTTTCATTAACCAATTTCTTCATTGAAAACTTAAGTTGAAATCTTACTACTAGTTAAAATAATTGCATGTGTGCAATGATTGTTAAAATGAAATTTTGAATATGTCTTTTAGTGCTCCAGACTTTTGAGAAATTATATGAATCATTTGTCATGTGTTATTGTATTGTAAAACTTTTTGAATATTCTACCCATCATGTGTGATTTTAGAACCATGCATGTAGTACTCGTGATTTCATGTTAACTTAGTGTACTTTATGTGTACCTTTTTGGTTGTCCCCAGTTCAATGTTACAATAACACATGTACTTTTGAGATAGATTTTTCACTTGATGTAAATTGTTATGTTTCAAGTCTTTGCAAAGCAGTATTACTTAACTTGCTTAATTACCTTAGATTTAGAAATTCTGTTTACACTATTGCCTAATTAAAGTTACTGTTTTATTTGTGTATATAAGCTTGATCTGCTTGTCAATTTTCATAAACTGATATTTGAAATGCATTTCCATTTGTGTTGTACTTGGCTCTGATGTTTTTGTATCTAGTTGTACTTTCGTTGATGAATGTCAATATGAGATGCATATTATGTTGGTATTTGGATTGAGATATCAAGTGTGATTGTTATTTGGTTATGATATTCTACATGTCTGTTCACTGTTGGCTGTTCTCTTCTTTTTCCTGACATTAACAATGTTCCATGTGTTCTTTTCCCAACCAATACAGATTTTAGAACAAATGTATTGTGATACCTTATGTTCATGTGTGAGATGTATTTTCTTGTGATGCGAACCTCATGCTTGTAACTTGTTATGTCTGTATTTTTAGGTGACTGCTGACTGATGCAGGTATGACTCCTGGCTAAGCCTGATTTGAGAAGATTGGACCAAACAAGTGATTTGACGACACCAAATAAATATAAAGTGAGAAAATCTAAATTTTGTATTTTACCTAGAAATTTTCAGTCGTGTTTTTGAATAAACTGTGTAACCTACATATCATGTTATTTTGTTAGGTGGCTGCTGACTGATGCAGTAGTGATGACTCCTGTCATAACCTGACAAGAGAAGTTTGGACCAGACCAGACCTGGTGATTTGAAGATCCCAGACGAATATAAGGGGAGAAAATATGAATTCTGTAT